TTAAGGAGGTGAAACTAAAGGAAGGAATGTATGAGGAAAAAAGAATGTGAGAAAATGGAAGAGAGGATGAGAAGCTTGAATGAAAGAAAAGGGAAAGTGAAGAAAAGAGAAGATGAGAAAAAGGAAGAAATGAAAGAAAATGATGGAAGGAAAGAGACATAAGGAGGGGAAGTAATTAAAAAGAAGAGAAAGATGAGAAATATGGGCGTTGAAGGCGGAATGAATGGAAATGCAGAAAGAAGGAAGAAGGAAATGTGTAAAATACAATTTAAAGTGCTTAAAATGTTTAGACTATTTCGGTCAAAATTTTTGACCGAAATAGTTTTGGCGAACAATTCAAAATGTTTCACTTGATTTGTCGAGCCAAAACATTAATTTCAGATAAAAAATTTGATCGAAATAATTTTGGCGAAAAATTTAAAAAATTTCACTTAATTCTTAGAGCCAAAACAATATAATTTCGGTCAAGATTTTTGACCGAAATAGTTTTTTAGAAAATTAAAAAAATTTAGCAAAGAAAGCGCCATAGTAATATAATTAAAAAAAGAAAAGAGAGACAATTATTTCGGTCAAAATACTTGATCGAAATAGTTTTATAGAAAATTAAAAAAAGAAAAAAGAAAAAAGATAGAGAGTGCAATGTTAATACAATTAAAAAAAAGGAGATATTTATTTTGGTCAATATGCTTGACCGAAATAATATCATAGAAAATTAAAAAAATTTAGGAAAGAAAGCATCACAGTAATTTTCTATAGAAAAAAAATTTTTTTTTTAAAAAAAAGAAGACAATTATTTCGGTCAAGTTTTTTGACTGAAATAATTTCATAAAAAATTTAAAAAATTTACAAAAAGAAAGCATCATACTAATAGAATTTAAAAGGTTTAAGTACCATTTTGGTCCCTCAACTTTTCACTTTGGCACAAAAATTATCTCTCAGCTTTAAAAAGTACTAAAAATATCTTTAAATTTTTATTTTTGGTACCAAAATAATCCTTTCGTCAGTTAAGTAACAAGTGGCAACGTTAAAATGCCACAAAATCACACTTTTAAAAAAGTAATAATTACGTGGAAAACAAATCATACGAAAAGTGATGAAATGGCAATTTTTCTTTTTCCATGTGACATTTTTTCTATTTAAATAAAAAACTCACATAATATAATATAATATATTATATTGTTCATCTTCTTCCTTCATTCTTCTCTCTCATCCCTCCGGCTCTTCCTCTTTCCCAGCCTTCTTCCTCCTCTTCCATCCCTTCTTCCTCTTTTTCCTTCCTCCTTCAACCTTTTTCTTGTTGTTCCTCTCTCCCCTTTCTTCATCTTCCTCTTTCCCCTTCCAAATCTATGTGGGTTCTCCCTTGAGAACTCAGATCTAGGTTCTCTCTCTAAGAAAGAACCCAATTTTCAGTTCTAAGAAAACCATTCTCCATGAGAGCCATGGATCGATGATGGACATATCGATTGAGCCAAGGATTACAAAGATTTGAGCCCTTCGACATTAATTGCAGGAACCCAGATCTGGGTTGTTTCCATATTAGAGATTGATTGCATTTGTTTATTGAAGGGTTAATTTGATTTGGTGAGATCTATTGGCTTGATGAACTCAGTGGCTTTAATGAAACTAGTAACTGGGTTCGATGATAGAGAATTCAAATTTTGCTCTGAAGCATTCTAGGGTTCATTGTTATTTTTGCAGGTTTTAGTGAGTTTGATTTGTGTAGGAAAGAAAGAAAGAGAAAGAAAGACGGGGAAGAAGAGGGAGTAAGAGGGGAGGGTAATAATGTAATTTTATTTTTTAATTAAAATATAAATATTTATTTACTTGACATTTTTATTTATCTATATACTATAAATATAATATATATATAATTACCATGTCATAAAAAAAAAAGTCAAAGAAATTATTTAATTGTCACCTCATATTTAACTGATAGAATGACTAAAATTATGTAATTTTTAGAATTAAAAGAGAAAAAAAATGAAAAAAAATAATTTAAGACAAAAAAAATGTAAATTTATAAAGTTGAGGTACCAAATTTAGTATTTAACCTTTTTTTTTATTATTTTCCATGTGGGAAAAGGTGACATGGAAGGTGTAATTAAATCCATGTAAGCATCTTTGGCATGTTGGCATATCCACATCAGCCGTTTCAGTTAAGTTAAAGTGCCACGCGAGCAAAAATTAACGAAAGGATAAAAAATGGGCCGGATTTTAAAATTTAGGGATCAAAAAAGAAATTTTTTTGGTATAAGGACCAAAAAGAAGCTTTTTTTATAATAAAAGGACCAAAAAAAATATTTAACCTATTTTTTAATCGGACTAAAGTATATTTTGGTAAAAATTTTTGACCAAATTAAGTTTTTTTTTTTTTGTCAAAATATTTTCTTATCCGAAATATTTTATCTGAAATAAAGCTTTATCTAGTAGTGTATCCATAACAAAGGGCATTAATTATGTGTTAATATTCTTCCCCTTTTGCAACACGGTAGATACAAATTGACAAGCGGAAATCTTGGGGATAATTTTGGAATTTTTTCTGCCAATTTTTGTTCTCCCTCTTATTGCGTGCGATGTGGAGCCAATTATTTACGAAGGTTGAAAAATCTGTTTCAGTTAATTGGATTTCCTGGCTTCGAAAGTCAAGCCATTCGTACTATCCCAGTAGGGTCTGCAAGGTTCCGCCCCTTAACTTGCTCGGGGAATCCCATACGCAAGAATGGCTAACCTATCCCTCCTCCTATCAAAGAATCCCACTAGCTATGGGACCATCAAATCTACAGTAATAAATTTGGATTTGGATTTGGATTTGGATTTGCTTCCAAGTTCCAATCAGTGATTCTCCAACCCAAGTTCATTGCCCCTGTTTGGAGTTAAAAGATTTGGCTTCCCCTAATTTCAGTTTATTGGTCATCTGCACCTTCTTCGTCTGGACGCTTGCCCTTTTGGATTTCTTCCTTACTAGCGAAACCAAAACGTAGATAATGATATAAATTTTATTATTTTTTATTTAATAATATAAATTTTATTAATTTTTAAATATAATAATAAATGTTTGGACAGTTTACTATCTTTCATGATAGAGATTTCAAATTACTTTAACACTCGAAAAATTTGATATATTTCCTTAAAAAAAATATTTTGACACTCAAATTAACAATATTTTATAATCTAGGAAAAAAAGCTCTCAAAAAAAATTATTATAAAAAAACACATGATAAAATTATTACTTTCAATGAAAATAAATAAAAGTATTTATAACTTTCATTACTGATAAAATGTCCTACATATAATCACTTAATTAACTCAAATGTCTCTAATCACATGAACACATCTCGGTGGATATGCCCACACTATTGAATTACCTTACCTTTGGGACTATTCTTAACTTATTGAGCTTATATCCACAATCAGGCCTTTTAAATGGGCTCGTTGTTGATGTTGGCATGTTCCTTAATAGTAAATTTTTTATATTTTTATTTAAAAATATTAATTTTATATTATTTATTTAAAAATTAATTAAATAATAATGTTAATGTTATAAATGATTTTTAATTATTTAATTAAATTTTAAATAAAAGAATATAAAATTAATATTTTTAAATTAAAAAAATTATCACATTATTTAAAATTTTAAAAATTTTATATTTTTAAATAAAAAATAATATAATTAATATAATTATCTACACTTTTTCTCTCACTACTAAAACAAAGATTCACGGCTCCTTTCTACTAAAAGGTTTTAAAATATAATATATTAAAATATTATGTAATATAATAAATTGATAATTATTTTATATTATTATATAAATATGATAATTATTTTATTTTAAAATTTACTTATAATATTATATATTTATATTTATTTAATAATATATTATAAACTTATAATTTTATATAATATATTAATATGCTACTCGAATCATTGTTAAAAAAATTATGTATTATTTGGTAAGACAATATAAACAAGTGGAGTCGTAGATTAATTGCCCGTCTCATTTAACTTGCCGCCAGTGCTGAATTCAAATTCACGCTTCTTAATCTCACTTGAGTTTCTAACACGATAACTACATGTTTCATCATAAAATATATCTTTTATCTTTAAAATTAAAGTTCAAATCTCATAAAATTGTAATCCATTTAAGAAAAAAAATCACTTTTCTTAATAACAAAGAAAAAAACATTTTTTTCTTATTTTACTTCTAGATATAAAATAAGGTACAATCTTCTCTTACTTAAGAATGATCTCTTACTCTTATTAAAAAAATTATCATTAAATCACTTAAGTAATTATCAAAAAATATATTATTCCTTTTATTTTAAAATAAATGTCCCTTTTATTTTTTTAAATTAATAAATTAAAGACCATTTATATATTTATTTATATTATTCTTAAAAAAAAGTTAATAAAAATAAAGAAATATTTTTATAATAGTATAATTAATTAAAATAAATAAATAATTATAAAGTTAAAATAGGAAAAAAATAGGTTAAAACCTTATTTTGGTCCTTAAACTATTAAACAGACTCCCGATTTAGTCTTTAAACTAAAAAAATCCCTGATTTGGTCCTTACTGTTTACCAATTTTACCCCGATTTGGTCTTTCCGTTAAATATTAACCTATGTGTCTCGTTACTTGACGGGAAAAGAATGACATGTAAAAGCATTTTGACACCTAGGATGTACAACATGGCAAAAAAATGAGATGGCAAGAAAAAACCTTAAAAGTCTTCTTTTTCCTTTTTTTTTGTTTTTTTGTCTTCCTTTGTTTTTCCTTTTTCCCTTTCTTCTTCCTCTCCCTTTCCTTTCACCTTCTACAAACCCTAACACTTCCTAATATTAAATTCGAGGATAACACAACAAATTAACAGATTGAACTCAATGGATCCTTCGACCCAACGCTTGCTGGGTTTGATCACCTGTTAGGTTCAAAATCGAACCCAGCACCTCAAGAATGATAACACATAGAAAACAAGTCGATAACCAAATTAAACTCAACAGATCCATCGACCCAACGGTTGCTGGGTTCAAAACGAAACCTAGCGCCTCACTTGCAGGAACCCAATGGCTGCTCAAACCTAGCAGCTGCTAGGTTCCATTTGAAACGAAACCCAGCAGGCACCTGCTGGGTTCTGCAAAACCTTGCAGAAACCCAACAACTGCCTTGCCTTGCCTTCTTCATCTTCATCAATCAATTTTTTTATCACCATCAAACAACAAAATCCGAAAAACGAAAGTAGATTTTTTTTTTTTTAATTTTTCACCTGGGTTCAACCGAACCTAGGCCTACTGGGTTCCTTGCGAACCCAGCATCTAGGTTCGACCAAACCCAGCATCTAGGTTCGACCGAACCCAGCATCTAGGTTCGACCGAACCCAAGCATACTGGGTTCCATCGAACCCAGTGCCTGGGTTCATTCACACCTAGCACGCCTGGGATCCAAGGGCTGAACCCAGGCGCTAGGTTCGTTCGAACCCAGCATGCTTGGGATCCAAGGGGAAAGAGAAGGGAAAGGCGAAGGAGAA